GCGCATGTACACAACCGGTTTATAATTAATTTCTTGTTTTATGTTAATCTATATCGAGGCAGACCACCATTAAATTTCAGTTCGTCTATTTATAGCAATCCTCTCTCTGTCTCTTTTCTGCCCTTTTGCATGCCCATTTTGGTTGATTTTTTGGTCTAGAATGGACGAAGAGGGTTAGAATTAACATTTTCTGCCAGGTTTTGGTAAATATTCATGATTTTGAGGCGGAAGGATAATGGGATTATCAGGTTGGCTACGGTGATAATGTACGGCAACTAGTTACTCGTTTGTAGTATGCTTCTTCAATTTTAGGTATCTCAAAATTTTGGTGGTCAACCTCATACAAATTTTAGTTTAAAAACATGACCATTTGTTCCTCTGTCTGCAGTGAAATACATTAAGTCCAACCAAAATTTGGGGAAAAGTTGAAAGTGGGCAAAGAGGCCAGAATTATCATTGAAGTCAATGGGGAAATTAATTATGTAGTCTGACTCCATATCATACGGACAAAATTACAAGCCCGCATTATAAATGTTGTTGTCTCCCTTTGTTTATAATGGACCTAATGTAGCCATTTCGGATTAATTTTCAGGAAACTTATATCGCTTATTAAACTAGAACAATTAAAGGGGAAGACCAACGATTTTCAACAAGGTTTCCATAAATCTTAAATATATATTGATAAATAATCCCCTCTGTAGCACAAGCAAAAAAGTTTTTGTAAGCGAGAAATTAATTTTTATTAAAACAGGAAGTGACATAGTTGGTTCAACACGCTGACTGGGCTCTATAGTAAGCATACAGATTTGGCACAAGTTTACTGCTGTATTGTGTTCACGCGTCGTCCTTTGGCCAAAAACTTTTTTGCTTGTGCTACAGAGGGGATTATTTATCAATATATATTTCAGGTTTATGGAAACCTTGTTGAAAATCGTTGGTCTTCCCATTTAAGATTTTGTTAATATTGGCTGAAAAGATAACATAGACCCATAACTCTTATTTTGTGGACGGGACAGTTTACTCTGGGTACTCTCTATAATCCGTCCCGTTTCAACTCCGGCATACGCCAGATCCACTCTAACATGTTTTTCGAATCTGTATTATAGTGCATAGCCTTTCGTATGGGACGAAAAGCAGATGTGCACCCGTATGCATATTGGCATGAAGGTAAAACAATCATTGTCAGATGGAGTTCGATGAGGTATAGGCGGAAAGACAGTTTCCACTACATTACGTTTGACGGGCCTTGTTTCAATCCGGTCGAATCCAAATTAACTGTTGAATAATCATTTTCAGTACACTATAGCTTGGACAATTGGACAGCGCCTGAATTAGCAGTTTCAGAAATTGGATAGCGCCGATTCAGGAACAATGGTTATCGATTTTCAGTCTGATCAAACTATTAGTAATTGTAATCTTTCAATATTAGTAAATCATCGTGTTAGTTAGTATTAGTGTAATAACATTGGGACAACATGAATTGGTGTTTTCCATAAGTATGTGGTCTAGTTTCTTGCTCCATTCTGTAAACTGTATTGCTAGTTTGATAATGTTGGGAACATCGCCTACATATGTTAGGAGTTACATAGCTGAATACTTTAGAGACTGTTTTCTGTAAGTATGTGGCCGAATGGTTAGCGCGTGCGCGTTGTATCATAAGGTGTGTGATTGAGTCAACTGGCGTGGTTTCAATTTCCCGGTTGTAGGGTCGCCTGTCCAACCTCGTGGGTTTTCTCCAGGTCCTCCGGTTTCCTTCCACTGGTAAAGACCCCTACCGTCAAGCGAATTATTGAACAAAATGACCTAGTTTGTGTCGAGTGGACGTTAAAAACCACCTCTGTCTCTCTCTCTCTCTCTCTCTCTCTCTCTCTCTCTCTCTCCGTAAGTATGTGTTTGAGTTTATTACTAGTAATTGGTTTCCGGTAAAGAGCTGTTCCATTGGATAATGATTGCATACAATGAGTAAATGACATATAATCTGTACCATTATCGATTGTATAAACCCCACCTGAATTAAATCATATGACAACCATTATCCAATAAATCAACAAAAGTTTCAATGGTCTAGTGCATACATCATATCTATTCAAACAAAATAATATGATCGGCAAACGGTTCCAATCTAGATTTTAACAGATAATAGTCTGTTATTAAGAGATAATATTCAATGTGTTGAATGGCTGATATTTGTAAAGAAAACAAACTAATACTTGGCTGTCCCTATCTCTAGAACACCTGCCCAGCTTCACGGCCTTACAGTAAACACTGCTGGTTTATCTGGGTTGAACAGAAGACAGTTTTAGGTGGACGATGAGGGTTAAAGTTACAATTTCATATTTTCTAAGAAAGTCAAAACATAATTATTTCTATGTCTTTTGCTCAATAGGTTGTCAACTCACTATTATACGATCATAGGTTACCTTCCTCTCACTTAAAAATCTTCACACCGGAAATAATAACACAATTACCACCCTTGTTTTCCTATTCCCCACCATGGAACAGCTATCTTCAAACGTTATTTTATCAAAATGATATTTTTGCCAAGTTCTCAACTGGCAATAGTGAATTATAGGATTAATAGGACTATTCTTTAACAAGGTAGGACTGTTTATAGATACCATCCATTTTAGGGCTTTATTTTAATACATTTCAAAGATATAACTTAAAAATATGAAATTGTAACTTTAACAAAAATCAAAAATGCAATACGCTTTACGTCTAGATCTTCACAAGAAACGGACATTGAGCTGATGAAGAGGCTATACGCTTAGATCGTCATAAGAAACGCGAATTGAACTGATGAAAACGAGCTTGCGCATGTACTTATTTTAATATCCAACTATCGGGGGAACGTTAAGGCCAGTAATGTACAGGATATCGGTTTTTCGTCCCATCTGCTCGGCTATAAGCCGAATATTAGTCCGGATAGGTTGTCAACATTTAAAAAAAAAATAGGTCATTTGTTAGATCTTCGGGTCTTTTACATTATCATGAACAACAATCTAAGGGAGGTAACTAGCCCTAAAACAAGTTGTCCGCGCGCATGCAATTAATTAAGCATTTCCATGCCAGAAAATCTATTGCATTGCCTGTTCATTGCCCAACTCTCTTAATATTTTATTTTAAAATATCTCACTTCAAGGACCACGTCTAGATTTTTTCAATAATCCTAATTCGTCGTCACGATTCATGTTTGTTTATAATAATGCATGCATCATGGGATTTATTTCGGGAAGGTGTGCAACTCTTACTTGACTGTAGCTAAAAAGTTCCATTGCCCATGTAATCCTGGGGCCTGTTTCACGAAATTTTAACTAAGATAAAATCCAAATTTCAGTAATTTGTTTGGATAATATTAGATTGATTTTAGTGCTCAGCCAATCAAAATTGAAGTATCTACTAAAATTGGATTTTATCTTTAGTTAAAATTTCGAGAAACGGAGCCCTGATCTCCATACGTTGAAGGTTCTGGGAGATTAAGACTAACGAGTGAACGACAGACTTGCCGATAAATTTGGGCTCCAACACAAGAAACGGACAATTTTAAATTATTAATATCATTTTTAGTCACCTGCTTTAGGTTTTGTTTGTTTTCTTCATTTTGTTTTTTAAATCTTATTCTTGTGCTTTCTTTTTTTTATTTCGCCGATAGAAAAAATAATTTAGATACTTTTTCTGATGATCAGATCCCCTTAACCCCTTCCGCACTTTTCCCCATAATCGCCCTTGCGAGAACGCGATGCTATTTTAGTTGTAATATTAGGACGAGAAACCTACTGAGGTTTACTATGTGGGTGACCAGATGATCGAAGTAGGTGATGCTGAACTCGGTGGGAAATTTGGAGGCACGGTAGCTCAGTGAGCAAGACACTGGCTCTGTAACCAGGAGATCCGCATGTTCCTGAAGCAACGACCGCGAGTTTTACAACATGTAGACGTCGGTAGACTAGTCTGCAATTCCCAAACTTATAGCTACCTTAATCTCTCTTTACCGATTACACGTGAACAATAACGTCCAATCAGAGGGTGTGACACCATCACACTTAAAACAAACATGACGACCTCCACGGAAACCCTGGCATTGAGCGAACCTTGAACTTTGCAACTCGATTATCACTGGTCGAAACTTTAGCTGGAAAATGCGAGACATGGTAATCGCGATGATCAAGGAATCCGATAGGCCCCAGCTGGGTCAATAATAGCCTATCGAAATTAGTGTCGAAATATGCAGGGTGTTACTTGAAGGGCTTGATAAGATGTATGGAGTTAAAGTGAGATCAAGCTTTCTATTCAAGATAGGAGGTCTGGGGTGTTGGCCGAGAACGTTCGCTCTCTGGGATTTTGCAGCGTGATTGTCCCTTGTCAGTGGTACGGTACGGGGGTCTTGTCGTCAAGGGAGCGTCTAGTGGAGCGGAAGTGACGATAGAACGAGATCCCCTATACATGTTAACGTGCACCCCGTGCACATAAATGATCCCTTGACTGTTGGAATTCAGTATTGGTGGGTTGTAGCGCTAGCGCCACTGACTGTGCAAAACTTTCCTCATATCACAGTGTATGGCGTATGGTCGTCTTCATTTGTCCAGTCAGTGCAAAACTGTAGGGCGTAAAATCTCATTTTATTTCATTCCAGCAGACGGTGTAAAATTATAAAACAGCAAATTATCTACCATAATGAAGACTGATCTAAGAGTTTCTGTAAAGCAAATGGTGACAGCTAATTAACCATGTGTCAACTTATATTGATGGTTGTCAATCAGTTTGGAAGGGTGTGAGTCTATTAAATAAGTAAAAAATTGATCGCAAATGAATAGTGTCAAAAAGTGATATTAATCGGTGAAATTTATTTCTCTAAGTTCTAGCATGGCGTCAGTCACTTGACGGGATACCATCTTGAATCGATGGCTATAAAATTGTTTGTGTAAGCTAATGTCATATCAAAATAAAATGAAATAAATTGGGAATTAACGGCCTACCCCTCTGCACAGTAACACTCAACATAAGAAGAATCCAATATGTTTTATTCATAACAAATTACCACATTCAATAACAAATTCATTTGAAAATATCAAATAATAGATCGATAACAATAACAGTTTACAACACAATTATACGGGAGAGAATATAACATACCGTCGTCACCACACCATCGCTGTTATAGTCCACTCTTTAAATACCTTGACTGAATCAGCCTATTTAATTGTCTATCAATCAGCATCCGACACAGTTCAATACCTTGACTGATTTAGCCGATTAACAATATCATTGATTCTGCCCCCTGTTACTGTGTCCTTATTTGGATTTATCTGATATTTTCTTTTTTTCAAACGTACTGCTCGCGCTTACGTTAGAGGTAGCTCATCCAGCCAAGGTATTACAACTATCTCATACTATTATTGTATGATGAAGACATTATAATATTCAATAATGAAACAATGGCGTAGGGTTCATAGGTTTGTATTATACTACGGCAGTATCACTAAATGCCTTTCAAAGACACCATACTACGGCAGTATTAACCAATTCAATGAAATGACCGGAAGAAAAATCTAAGTTTACAGAATGCTTAATATCAGGGTTGGTTTGAAAGGAAGGTGCAATCGGGATTCATATATTCAACACTAGATCACTGTGAAACATTCATGCTACCATAATGGTTACCCACACGGTCAACCAGAAGCAGTAGCAGTAGTAATCACCGACAGCCACTGGCAATTCCAACGACTCGCATACGTTTCATGATCCCTTTCTACCAAACACACGTATATTCTATTGAACATCCACTTAACTTTACACAAATGTTTCCAGAAACGGGGACCATAATTAATATTTCGTTGACTTCCCTACCTTAACCTGAAAGATGAACCACCTTAAATATACATTATGCAAAATCTGCCTATATCAGGTCTTTCGTTGGGCCTAAAATGTTACCTAAATTATTAATTAGACATTTATTAACAAAGCAAGGCCATAATCAACCCTTGATGGCATCCGATACTCGAGATTTTAACTAGATTAGAACGGTTCGCCATTTACAAATTTAATTTAAAAATGGGAAGCGAGGCTAAGTCTAGAATTAACCAGTGCCCTGGTTAACACAATGCACATATCATGTCAAAACTACACACAGTGATAACTTGGCTCAGAATGAAGTAATTTGAATGAAATTTTAAACATTTTAATTTTACATTATCTATTTTTGAGCTATTATAGCAAGACTGGTCAGTTCTTTATATAAATCTTACATAATGTATCTTTAACTGTTATTGAACTACAATTTAAAATGACTACATTTTGATATGACTATATTTGAAATTAAACTTACTACAATTGGAAATGACTACAATTGGAAATGACTACAATTTGATATGACTACAAACGATGTACATCGACGAGAACCGAATGTCTAAACAACAGCATCGAGTTGTTTTAAAATATTTATATAGAAGACAAAACAATTAGATATTTATTGAAAGCCAATCAAAACAATATAACATATGAACACAAGAATGGAACATTTGGTATCACTTTTCAATTATTCAAGAAGTTCCCGTAATTTTCGACCCCATTTCTTTATATTTCTGAGCTGAGGACTTCATCCGCAGATTTTTCTTTTTTTTATTGTCTATAAGAAAAAAGCAGGTCCACCATATGTTAGTTCCGAACTAAGGCTCGAACTAGACTTTTCGAGACTAACATATCATACATAGCCAGAGACCGTTGAAGAGATAACAGATATATTATGTGTACTGCCATATATTAGTTGTATGTCTTTTGTCAAATTGAAAAGTTGGTTAAAATAGTTCTATGACATTTGCTGTCGGCGGATTAAGATTTTCGCTACGAGTACCCATAGCCTGCGATGGGATAAAAGCCGTAATGCTGGAGCATATATCTGCGATACGATTTTGCCACGAACCGAATATAAGGGTATCGTGGACTAGCCTATCGTATAGCTTTGAACATGTTCAAGCGAATCACAACATTTGACGACAATCGTACCCATTAATGGCTAATCACAACGTTTGATGACAACTGTACCCTTTAATGGCTAATGGTTAGTGCTAAATGATAAGGCCAGCTCAATTTTTCGTCATAGGTCACGAGATGTAAACAGAGCTAGCGCTAACCTACAATCTCGCCAACAATCACGCACCCTAACCTTGTTTACATCTCAGCGACCTTGACAAAAATTGAGCTGGCCCTGACAAATATATTTAGGCTTAATTGTAGTATTAATTGATCTACGCCTAGAACATCCAGTCTTTCCAACGAGCTTCATCAAGCAGGAGAGACGAGTAGCTGATTCCGGTCACAATCGACGTGTCCACAAGATGAAGAAGGGGGAACGCTTCATAACGACTTTTGAAATCATTTTGAAATAAGCCATATTAATAGTTATTCAATTTGATTATTTCCCAATTACTAAATGTTATTTAAAGAATGAATGCGAGTAGCGATTATACAGCGCTAGCGGGGCAAATAGTACAGTATAAATTATAGAAACCCTAACTCATAAATAGCTTATTATATATAGTCTAAAAAATACCACAATATCAGAACTACTCTTCAATTGAGCACTTTTTAGTAAGCACTATATAAATAATTCTGAAATGAACAATGTAACTTCGCAAACACCCTCAAGGGAGAAATTGTTGAATTAAAATAAGTAAAAACACAAAACACACTGTGCATGTTCATAGAAATACACTGGAGTTTTAAAATATTCAATCTCTAAACACCAATTAGACATTCCGATCTGAACAATACGATCACATTTCAGTTTCTTAACAGGTCTCTAAACACAAACTAATTTTACAAAGGTAATACTCATGTGCACGATATATTCTTCTCTCGACCAAAACGATAAAAAAAAATTCGGTTCATAACACAATATCCAGTAACATGGAACACGTCGCAAATATGGGACAGTTATACAATCACAAAATAAATTATTCTTTTGGAATGAAAAAAACGTCTTTTGGAAATCGATACCGTCTATGGGTTCAATCCGTGTCCATCAGCAGCAGACATGATGTCCATGAACAACGCAGAAATACACACCTGATAGCACCAGTTGTAAAACACAATTCTGTATGCTTAACATAAAGGCCTTATAGACCTACTTATAGCAACTAGCAACGACACCAGGTTATAACTTTGCGGATGTAAAAAATGATGCACGCACTACATGTATATTCTAACATAGGAGTAGAGGAATATATGCATCACATCATGTCAACCACCAAGGCATTAAAATTACATTACATATGGCCTACTTTTTATTCAATTGTATAGCCACTGAAGACGACTTCCCGTCAAAACAATGTCTGCATTATCAACCCATCATCTGACCTTTTTTCAGATTAGTACGAGATAAGGTTTGGTCAATTCTCTCGACATTTCGCCTTTAACCACATTCGCAAACAGATCCACATTTATAGCAGCAATGCCGAGCGTCGTGCAGCTGAAATGGATTTTAACAATCAAGTCAAAGGCATCTTGGAACTCGTTCCAAAATTGAAAAGCCAGACTAAATCTGTAGGCTATTTAAAAACAAAACGTCACTAAACGTCACTTTCATGACGTCACTTTAATACGCCAATAACTGTACCCTGGACGCATTAACTTTTATATCTATAGATAAATCATTAGGCAAGGTTTTTATTCCAATATGTTCTAAAAGTCGTTGTGGAAAGACCAAATTAGTTTCTGCAGAGCTTAATAAGGTAAATGAGTTAAGAGTCCATGCAGAGTATCATGTTCGTTTGACACCCCCATTTTCAATTTTCGCAGAGTTTTATAAGTTTTAATGAGTCCATCCAAAATTCACCATTCTTTTTCCATCTCCATTTACAAGATACGCAGCGGTAAGAACTGAGCGTCTTAAGTCAAGCGTTTATAATTATCTGGCTTTTCGACAAGCGCAGATCAACAGTTAAAAGAATTTAAATCTGACAAGAATTGGAACTCGCTCATGGCTGACTAGGCACCATCACTTGTAATTCTGATGAATCCTAGAAATGAATAGAAAAATCAATTAATTACATTTTTTGTTTAGTTCTGTCGTGGAAATAGGGCAAACGATGATTTTAGCGGATTTTTGTCATGACCAATGATCAAATAAAAGGAGTCGCCAAGAGTTTGTGTCCGGGGCTCTGTGTTTTGTTTTTGATTACGCGAGCCCTCCGCACGTCAAAGGTGAATGAATGTAGTCAAACGGATTTTACTTCTATATCAGAATATCTGAACAAAAAGATATCATAAAAGAAATAGTTTGCTTTACTGTTTCCCTTTCCTAAATAAAGACGTCCATATCGAAATAGCATATTATGTTATAGGTTCATGGCTGGAAGTAAATAGACTTAAAGTAGATGGTTCACATTATATTTCTAAGTTTTAACTAATGATATCCCCTTTAATAATTGATTATTGTTATCTACAATTTCAAGATGAATACTAATCAATTGTCAACAGTTGGATGATTCTTAAACATACATTATGCAGGAGGGAGCTAAATCTGTGTATTTGCAGGTCTTTCTTTAGGCCAGAAATGTTATATAAACTATTAAATAGACATCTATTAACAAAACAAGACCATAATCGACTCTCAATGGCATCGGATACTCGAGATTTTAACTAGATTAAAACGGTTCGCCATTTAAAAATTTAATTTAAACATGGGAAAGCGAGGCTAAGTCTCGATTATACCAGTGCCCGGGTTACCACTGTGCACACATCTTGTCAAAACTACAAACAATGATAACTCGGCTCAGAATGAAGTAATTTGAATGAAATTTTCAATATTTTCTTATTTTATCATCTATTTTTGAATTATTATAGCAAGAATGACCAACTCTTTATTAAACTCTTAACTAATGTATCTTTAATTAAACATTACGTTAGTGACGTCATCAGATATTTCAAACTGGCACAAACTGAAATTTGTTTATTTTGTATGGAGAAATTAAATGTTAGTCTGGTCTCTAACGTGAATTCAAACACGAAGATGGTCGTACAGTTTCTAGTCACTGGATCGCTCGCTGCCATTGATTAAATGGGCATTGTGCAAGAGCTAAATCTGCCTATTACATATCTTTCTTTAGGCCTTAAATGTTATATAAAATATTAAAGATATATTATGGGAGATTAGATAAAGAGCTGACAGTTCTCACTATAATAGTGAAAAACTAGATAAAATTTTTTTTCAGTCAAATTGATCCACTCTGAACCGAGAATTTAACGATTGAGTTTTGGGCCTAGCCTCGATCATCATTACTAAAGTCGGTATGATAAAAAATGTTCTCGATTATCCATGTTTTGATTTAATCATGAATGAGCGTTGGGAAGCAGACCTGATCCTAATCCAGTTAATATCACAGGCTAGCGATAACATCGGGAGTTGATTACGGTCTGGATAAGTTAATTAATGTCTAATTAATAATTGAGAATAAAGAAAAACCTGCAAAAGGCAGATTTAGCTCTTGTATAATGCATGTTTAATTAGACATTAATTTACATGACATGACCATAATCAGCTCTTAATGCCATCAGATGGCCCCCATCTTCAGTAGATTAAAATGATTCGGTCATTTAATGATTTAATCTAAAAATGGATCATCAAGACTGTTTATTATCTTAACAAAGGTAGCAATGACAATCGAGGCTACACTGTTCTGCAAACGATGGTAACTCGGCTCAGAGTAAAGTAATTTGACTGAAACTTTCATCATATTCTCTTTTCATTATCTATTTTTAACTATTATAGCGAGATGATCTTTATTACGATATTAATTAAATTCATGATCATGACGTATTAAAGCGAGAATTTCATATTTTCTAAGAAAGTCAAAACATACTTGTGTCTATGTCTTTTGCTCAATAGGTTGTCAACTCACTATTATACGAGCATATAAAATTCATTGACACCGGAAATAATAACACAATTACCTCCCTTGTTTTCCTATTTTCCCCCACCCCCCTGGAATAGCTATCTTCAAACGTTTGAATTTGAAGTTGAAAATGATATTTTTGCCAATTTCTCAACTGGCAATAGTGAATTATAGGATTGATAGGATTATTGTTTAACAATGTAGGACTGTTTATAGATACCATCTATTTTAAGGCTTTATTTTAATACATTTTAAAAATATAACTTAAAAATATGAAATTGTAACTTTAAGACATTTGAGTCTTGGAATTGGTTGAATTGTTAGAAGAGCCGGGCAATACACTTCACAAGAAGATGTCAACTAATTTAACGCCTATTACTAGTTATATTAGCATCAAAGACGCCAATAACACAATCTTAAATTTAGTATAGTGTACGAGCGCAGGTGTCTAGAATTTTTCCAACGTTTGATTCGAGTATCTATCATTGTCAGATGTGTAGAACATCTCCTTTACAATAACAATGTATGTTTTTAGGATATTGTAATCTGAAGACCATCTCCTTTAAGGGACATAACATTCATGACCCCTATTTATCAGCTGTTGACCTTGAAATCACAAATAATTCCTGTTATAATTTGATATATTTATTTATAATTTTATTTATAGAGTGCTAAACTTTTCTATCTCGAGAAAATTGTAGGCTATTAATCCCCTAGTGTCATTGAAAAAACAAAACTTACTCCTTTTAGTCGTGAATTCTTTCCAGTCCCATTTTTCACGACAGCCGTTGATTCGTCCCACGTCATGGCTGTCGTATTGCACATGCTACGCCGACGACCCTCATTAGTCGGGTGGTAATTGTTCCAAACCTGATTCCATTTCCGGCGCATTACGGTCATGACCTGAAATATATCATGTTATTACGCAGGTGAGTATGTTAGGAAATATATATGGTTGCAGTTGGTCTTATTTTGAGAGGTATCATTTGCTTGATGTCAATAACTCGTAAAATCGACCAACAAGAGATGGGATATTAAAGGAACGATACATTGGAGGTAGAAAAGACAAAATACAAAAAGTTTAAATCAAAAAACATTACCAATTAAAACAGTGGAATTAGCCTGATATTAAACCTGGGCAATGGCTTCTCCACCTACTCTTTGTCTATTTCCAACCGTCAGGGGTTTCCTTTACGTGTACGTTAACTTGTACAAAGGGAAGCCACTCTGAAAAATCTGAAATTCCTCGATCAACACCTGACCTCCTCCTGGTTAGTGAACCAACATCACACCTATTGAGAGACCGTACCCCCCCCCCCCCTCACACACACACACACCAATGAAAAATGACAGACTTTTTGTGTTGACGAGACGTTATACTCCCATATCGTTCCTTTCACATTTGACTAGATATACATAACAATTTGTACCATGACAGCCTAAGACTGGCCCCCGGATCCATTCTCTTGATGTGATATTTGTTGTTTACATCTTGCAATGTCTGTGTAATTATCTTGTCCGCAGGTTTATCTTATCGGGTTGTCTGCGATATCACCTCGGTGGAAGTGGACGTAAAATACAACTAACTAACAATATTATCGGTTGTGTTTGGGTTGATTGTGATCCTCCTGCGTTTACTAATAAACTTGACAATTGTGACACCATAGGTATGGTATTTGGAAGTGGACATCTTAAAGACATCAGCAGTGCGATCTAACGCTAGTAAGTGTAAAAATCACGTAGATTGAAACACCGTCTAGGTCAAACGTCTCCCGGGTTAACACATGATGACTTTGTTCTACTCCAAACCTTTCAATCGCTCTCTTTGGAATTAAAATATTGAATTACTTGCTTCCCTTCAGTGGTATGAAAGGTCCATTCATTATTTCAAACCATCCTTGACGTGATTCTATAGACAGAAATAATTTCAAAGGGACCCGGGTTGGGAAAGATATCAAGAAAAGAAAATCAACAAGTGAAATTGATGGTGTAAATGACATAATAGACAACACAGCAATGAAAGTCACATCACTGTCTCCAGTTATTTGCAAGTGTTCGGTAACTTTCAGAGAGAGAGAGAGAGAGGGAGAGAAATGGGGTTTAACGTCCACTCGACACAAACTAGGTCATTTAGGGACTAACATATGGTTTAATTTTATTTCAATAATTCGCTTGCGCGTAGGGGTTTTTAGCAGTGGGAGGAAACCGAAGGACCCGGAGAAAACCCACGAGGTTGGACAGGCGACCCTACTCCTTGTCACGTACAACCGGGGATTCGAAACCACGCCAGTTGACTCAATGACAGGCTTTATGATACAGCACGCACGTGATAACCATTCGTCGGTAACTTTCAATAAATAAAGAATTCACGGGGAAATGGATGAAAAGAATGTGTTTGAACAGTCCTACCAATCTGCACGAGCCTAGGTAATGTGAGGAAAAAACCCAGGCCCCGTGAAAAAACAGTGGCGTGCCCGTAAAAGCACTGCTTGCCGGAAAAATGTCTCCGTCATATAGCACACAGCTCGTTTTCATTAACCCTGTTGGTGCAGAAAATTAGGATGTTACACCACATTTTATCCCATTACTTCTACCAGATGGGCTAATGTGACGACAAACCGAGTTCCCGTCAATATAGTGGCGTGTCCGTAGAACGACCATAAGGCCGTACCAACGCTGTCAGGGAAAAATGTCTCCGTTACATAGCACACTGCCCGTTTTCATTTTCCCGTTTGGTGCAGAATAGTGGAACGTTACAGCACATTTTATTTCATTTTTTAGATATGCATGGCGTACTTGTTGGCCAGTGAGTATAAACTCGCTGTTGTAATATGTGCAACATTAAGTCGAATTTAACCCCACATGTAATTTGAAATGTCTGACAAATCACAGATACATATTATCTTTTATCAACATTTGAAAACACAAACAGCTTAAGAAACTATGTTTCTCTCTTTAGTATTCCCTTAGCGTACAAATTTATTCAGATTAAGATATTTGCTATTGACAATTACCACGCCTACTGTTGCTATTTTGTTCTAATTTGTACGCTCGTAATTCATTTCGTTTAGAATTAGCCATGTAATGTCCATATAGCGGGAATGTATGGCACAGTAGATAACGTGATAGAATTATATGGTGCATCCTGCTTCATACACATTGTGATAAACTGAAAACGTAAATGATCTGATTTAAAAATGATCGGAAACCATCACTTTCAAAGGGAAATACTCAATTCAAGGAGAAATGGACGAAATGAATTTGGACTTAACGTCCTACTTTTCAACACAGACCGGTTTAAAAAATGACGGACATACGCCAAGCTGTTTGCTATGAGAGGAATTTTGCCCGGACAGCGGTGCTAATCTTATTTCGAATTTCAACTTCAAGAGAAGGACGAGACTCGATTCCTTGGCAAACCCCCCACCCTGTGTAAATCCCTAGGAACCTTCACAGACAATACTGAGATCAAACTCAGTATGTCCTTGATAGTAACAAGAACTTCAAAATGTTCATCCGCGACATCAGTGTTAAAGTCTCTTCACTGGTTTCCTGTCGAACCCCGGATTCAGTATAAAGTTCTGTCTTTAGTGTATCAATGTCAAAACGATCTCGCTCCCTTATATTTATCTGAACTTTGAAAAAATATAAATCCAAACGTACCCTCAGGTCGCATAGCAAAATTATACTTGCTGTTCCGAAAACAAAACGAAAACAATTTGGTGATAAAATTTTCAATCCTGCTGCACCTCGCCTTTGGAATAAGTTACCAGTAAACAGTAGAAAATCTCAAACATTCACAATCTTTAAGTCACAACTCATTTGTTTAAGCTCTATTATCCAGATTAGAAACAGATTGTTTTAGGTGTATTTTTTTTGACGAGAGACAACTTAAATGTGGCGGTTTGAGCATGCATAAAGCGCGTTACTAATATACATTATTGTTATTATTAGTGCACCAGTGCCCTATTTACTGAACCACCCTGGCTCAATCCTTCCATAACTGTGGAAAGATGAACATAAATAAGGGACGACATATCAGGGAACATGGTGACGACAAAATACGATCACATTAAACTGTAGACGTATAACAAATATGACGATTATTTACCTCTCCGTTGAAGAAACAGAAGATTAAAGCCACGAACACGCCCTGCAAGTAGAAGGGAAGAAAACAATCTTTCTTAATAAAAAAAAATCAATAACAACTAATGTTGGTTTCTTTCTTCTTTTTTTTGTTTCGTCTTAAATTGATATCCTGATTAACTTCTTAGAAAAAAATCCTTAAAATGTCAAAACCAGAAAACAGGCTGTCAATTACATGCTAAATACGGGAACTAGATAACATTAAAAATTCCAGTTAAGTTAATCATGTCAATTACATCAAATCCTGTAGACTGACTTGGTAGAAAACAGATAATATCCGCCATTTTGAAAACAATCATTTGGTTTTGAGTCCAAATTTATTTAAACCATTTAAGTTAAGAACTGTTCGATTAACTAAGTTAAGAACTACTTAACGTATGTCTATCTGTCATACTTTTTTCTTGGTAATAGATTCAATCAATTCCAATCATTAAACGAACTAGAAATCTGGTTTACCGCCCTATTGGCTAGTGATCACGGACAGACAACATACACTGCGAGGGAGCCACGGTGGCTCAGTGAGTAACCCCGGCTCGCTGAATTGGGGGTCCCCTGTTCAATCCCTGCGTTGACCGCATAAGTTGATCGTGATTTTCCGGCGAGCAAAATTTTCCATATGCCCTATCGGAGCAGAACAATAAGACGTTAAACCTTAATTTCATTTCCATGCAGTGGGTGTGCTATCACGGACAGGCAACCCTACTACTTGTCACGTACAGCCGGGAAATCGACACGCCAGTTGACTCAATGCCAGACCTGATGATTCAACACGAACGCGCTAACCATTCGCCCCCCCCCCCCCTCCTTCCAAATGAAATTTTACTAGTTTAGAAGGCACAGTAAACAGAATATGTAATTCTGTTTCGGGCTAGAATCTCCGTAGCAAATAAAATGAAGTTTTAAATACAACGTTACCTGATATGAAGTAATAAAGGCTGTAAAGATTTTGAAGATTTTCATGGCTTGGGGGTCATTATCCGGTCGGAAGGGAATGGCGAGATATTGTAGTCCCAATAACGGTATCAATATCAACACGGCCCGTACAGCTCGTCTAGAAAAATAAACAAATATTAAAAGTTACAAAACTTTGAGTGAGGCACAACCTTTGACTTAGCCCCAACTCTGACAAGGAAACGAAATGAAATGAAATGGTTCTGAATCAATCGGCCTAATGCAGTGTGGTATGAGGGACATTTTGGTCAAACAGCGGCGCTACGGATTAGTCTTATTTCAACAACCCATTCAGGGGTTTTCATATGTTAATAATGATCTAGAGAGGACTTCTATTTTCCTCCCGTCCATACGACTCGGCGATTTCCCTTTCAAGACTCTCCTCGTGCTATTCAATTAACAAAGGTCCATCTTCTTCATCGGTCCAGGTGGTACAGATCAGTGGGGGGTTAAACCCCATTCTATTTCATTTCCATAACAAAGATAGAAGCAGGGCCTGCTTCAAAAACAATCTTCTGTCCATAGTACAATTTGTCCAGTATAAAGTTAGTATATATTTCCCTATAGATATATCCTACATCATGTCCCCGTGAATTTAGTTAGCTAGATTGAACGATTGTTGGGTAATACCACAGACTATGGGCACATAAATCACGGCCAATTGATCATAATAAAAGGAACTTGGTAGATACTAGTACGGACATCTTGGGCAATAAACAAACACTTATCATGCAACACAAAAGTTTGAGATAATCCATTAAGATAATAAACCAGTATAATATTTGGTAGATTTACCAATCCAATTCATATATAACATTGATTTGAAAAAAAAACCCAACAATCGGTAGATATCCGAGGATTTAAAAGATTATCAACCTAAGATGTACAATTATTCGGTAGACATTCGAAAATTGGAGAACAGGGCTATATTCCAGTAAAAACAGAAAGCATAAACTTTCAGTTCAAACATAAAATTACAGTTGCCTGAGCGAAAATTATTTGATGTTTTATAACTAAATGAACTTTTATATTAAAATTTGTAGTTTTATGATTAGGATATTGATAGATGCTACAAAGCTTTAATATAGCTGAATAATCAAAATATTTCATTTTTTAAATAAGTTATGAATGGGGATTTTTTTTAATAATCAATCATCAGATACAAAGCCCATGGGGTTAATTAAAGGCAGCGAATCTATCAAACGAACGGGATAATGAAGATATATGGAAACGCAAATAGGAAAGAAATAATTAAAACAGCAAATCTATAAAACAAACGGTGAATTCGAAAAATGGCAAAACATTTTTAAAAGACATATATTTACGTTAGGTTCCCACTGTCGTGCGATGCAGTACAATAGGATTGTCCCTATGAACTGTTACGTGCAGATACGTTCGGATACGTTACGATACGGCCTATACGATTGCCACGACTGCCCTCAATATATAAGACCCGTGATAGTGGGAACCTAGCATATGCTTTTGCAATGCCAGAGAGTTGGGGGTTATTGTCAAGACAGTGGCGTTTTCACCCACTTGTCTTCTATTGCCAGCAGTCAAACGTTCTTTTACGTGCATGTCAGTGCCCTAACCCACAGACTGATAGTTAAACAAATCCAAAAATCGATCAAACTACACACCACATGGTCAGTCAAATTGAACACAAATACAGACTGAAAAGCATTCTATGGATAATATTTTTTTTTTTTTAAAAAAGTCTAGGTTGGTATCATCGATGTTCATGGGCAAAAATTAGATATTTAAAATAACTTTAGATATCATAACTTTTGGTTGAGCATTTAAGGCCTCAATGCGTATGTACAGTTTGCCTATGAAATACTTTCGGACCTTTTGGGAATACATTTGTTCTGGTTCATGTCTAAGGGTACTTCTAAAATCGCAATCACAAGTAAATTCCATGTCTAAAGTTAAATCCTGTTAATATTAATTATTACAAACCTGTTCTGATGGCTTTCGTTAGAATTAAAGGCCCGTAATTTGGACACAAGGATACGTAGAATGTTGACGACGAACAACAGATTGATCTGAAACAAAAGGAAATGAAAATGAAATGGGGTTTAAAGTTTTACTGCTCTGCTCCGACTGGGGTTAATAAAGACGGGAGAATCAAAGGGAAGAAAGATAATATAAATTAGATTATATCCACCAGATCATTAGTTGGTATTGAGACAATCAAACGGGGTTTGGTTTTCACTCTATACATGTAATTGACCCTTGAATTCCAAATATCTTGACTCAAAACTGGACTGCTTCTTTTGAAAACCTGAACCTTTAGACCCGTTTAGTTTGGATTAAAAATAAAAAGTTTACTTTAAATAAATCTTTTTAAATTGGGTATTTGTCGATATGTGACATTGTGGGTCAGCAGATGGGGCCCATTCTGTGTTCAACAGTCGACAGTTTTAAACAAACACTGAACAAACTGACTTCCGCTCTATATTTCGATAGGAATATTTATTGGTAAAGACTTATTGACACGCCCATTAGATTGAAGACTTTATTCGAACCTAACTGAAATGAAAGGACGTTGTTCAGTCACTATAAGAAATACTACATAAAGTCACACCCAATTCAAGACGTTAATTGGAACTAAATAGCTCAATTAAAGTCAACCTTAATGTTGTCCAATGTGTACTACCCACCCTGTTAATCCTCTAATCACCAATCCTGTGAATCATCTAATCACCCATCCTGTGAATCATCTAATCACCCATCCTGTGAATCATCTAATCACCCATCCTGTTCATTATCTAATCATCCACCCTGTGAATCATCTAATTACCCACCCTGCTAATCATCTAATCACCCATCCTGTTAATCATCTAATCACCCATCCTGTGAATCATCTAATCGCCCATCATGTTCATTATCTAATCATCCATCCTGTGAATCATCTAATTACCCACCCTGCTAATCATCTAATCACCCATCCTGTTAATCATCTAATTATCAACCCTGTGAATCATCTAATCACCCATCCGGTTAATCTTCTAATTTAAACCATCCTGTTAATCGTCTTTAATTACCCATCCTGTTTATACGCCGATACACAAAATCTACTGGTAGGTTTAATTGAAATAAACCATGTGTATTAGTATCGCTTTTATTTTTTTTCTCATTATTTTTTATTATTCCAGAGGCAAACCCGACACAACATTAATCATTGCAAATCTACAAGAGGTACCCTAATCACAAAACCGTGTAGTTTAAATCCGTTTAAAGACAATAAACCATCTTTGTTTCCATAATTCGTAAGGATAGGGAGAAACCGATGGACCTGGAGGAAAACCACAAGTTTCCGCGAGTAATCAATCTCCTTGTCATCTACACATCGGATGATGAACCACACACTAGGGTTCAATTTGAAAACATTTTTTGAACCTCTATCCCAGAATCATACGAACACACTAAACGAAAGTAAAGCGTTTAATTTGAACGAAGTAGAGCATTGTTTAAAAACCTATGTTTAATTACTGAAACGTGTTATAATTGATGGAGAACGACATCTGGAACAACAACATACGCCCCTGTTGTAATTACTTTGGAAGCAGTGCACGCTATTTCGTCATCAGAGATCCTTTCTATTATCACCATTGTAAAAAGAAAAATGTTTTGAAATGCATCACGTTTTTTCTTCCCTCTATCACTTTCTAAAAGCTAAGGAGTTTCTTAACCCTTTGAGCATTGAAGCAGAGAAGGTGTCAGTTAAAGCAATCGTTGTCTTTATTAGTTTTGACAGTAATAGGCCATTGTGGGTGTCTCATGATGCTGGCACCAATACGTGTCTTTCTCAATCAGTCCTCCGTGACTAAACAACCAGAATAATGATGTATTGATCTTAAAGGGAGTGATATGACACGGGATTAAAATCTCTTGATGTTAAATTAACCAAGTTGTGCAGATACTAACACATGGTTACGTTTTATGGTTAAATGTGCAGAAAGTTAGGGGAGGACACATAATTCAAGCGTTCATAGGTTCTGTTAAGTGCACACGGGTATATAGTGTATCCTTTTCTCACGGCTATACCTTGAGACTAACATATGGTTACGTTTTTATGGTTAAATGTGCAGAATGTTAGGGGAGGGAGAGAGAGAGAAATGGGGTTTAACGTCCACTCGACACAAACTAGGTCATTTCGGGACTAACATATGGTTTTAATTTTATTTCAATAAATCGCTTGCGCGTAGGGGTCTTTATCAGTGGGAGGAAACCGGAGGACCCGGAGAAAACCCACGAGGTTGGACAGGCGACCTTACTCCTTGTCACGTACAACCGGGGATTCGAAACAATGCCAGTTGACTCAATGACAGGGTTTATGATACAGCGCGCACGTGCTAACCATTCGGCCATCCAACCCCCTCCCCCCATGTTAGGGGAGGACACTGAATTCCAGCTTTAATAGGTTCCTTTACGTGCACACGTGATATAGTGTATCCCCTTGTTACGATTGTACCTCGGACATTTGAAAACTAAAATAAATGGTTCCATCTTTGATAGACATTTAGTAACATATGGCTGTTTTTATTTTTGTTACCAACAAAAAGGGGGAATGTTAAATGGGCACCGTAATTTCTGAATAAATGTACATCAGTAATTTGTGTTGCATTTTTATAAGGAAGTGAAGAGCTGCAAAAGAACACGTTTCATAATCGATCAATAATATTAACGATCTATTGGTCCAAATATCGAATATAATGTAATTAGATCGCGTCACTTCCTTCCTTAGAATACATTAAACAAATCTCGTTTCTTTGTTATATATATGTTGGTGCATTCGGAACGCATCCCAGTCTCTTTGCCACGCATACGTAGTGTCTTTAAATTGACATTAAAGAAAACAGACGCCAATCTGGTGAACATTTCCCTTGTCGGCACCAAAAGGTGTCAGCAAATTCCTTGCTGAGGTCAGACGATCCCAGACAACGATGCAATCGTTATTCGCAAGCATGTTGTGGCACCTTTAAGCTGACCTTTCGGAAAGCAGAAGGCAATCTAGCAGGTTTTGGCGCGTGTCGGTACCAAGAGGCGATAGTTACACACCGTGTTAAGGTAAATTATTGTATTATTGATATGGTGGATGGTATTTTTAGACCATTTATTATAGCAACATTGATCAAGACAGTCACCAGTCTAATAACAAAACAATATACTGTCTTCACCTTATTTATCCCAAAATAGGTTCACATGTCACGCATCAAACTGGTCTTATCACAGCCATCAGATATCCGCTGAAGTACCAGGATCGATGTTGGGACCAATCACTCACAGGGCTATCGACTAAAATGTCACGGGTTGCCATAAATAGGCATACATTTCGTAGACATTATCATTGTAGCCCTATTTGCTTGCATAACTTGGCAACCAAGATAACAAAGAGAGAGCGAAATGGGGTTTAACGTCCACTCGACACAAACTAGGCGACTCTACTCCTTGTCACGTTTTTATGGTTAAATGTGCCGAGGGTTAGGGGAGGGAGAGAGAGAGAAATGGGGTTTAACGTCCACTCGACACAAACTAGGTCATTTCGGGACTAAAATATGTTTTTAATTTTATTTCAATAAATCGCTTGCGCGTAGGGGTCTTTAGCAGTGGGAGGAAACCGGAGGACCCGGAGAAAACCCACGAGGGTGGACAGGCGACCCTACTCCCTGTCACGTACAACCTGGGAATCGAAACCACGCTAGTTGACTCAATGACAGACCTTATTATGCAACGCGCATGCGCTAACCATCCACCCCCACCCCTCCCCACAACCAAGACACTCAGATGCTAATATTCCAAAGGTTTAAATATAATAGCCAATGTTATCCATATAACTCTTAATGACTTCAAGTATAGGTTTAAAGATTGCCATCTTTTTCCTTTCAAAACCTGTCTGCACTCGACAGTCTACTTCACATTTTACAAGAGAGATCCTTTACAGATTAAACAACGTTCTGTTTTATAAAAGTGGACCAAAGAGGCATCATTTAAAGTCATAAGTGTGCAGAATAGCCCGATCTTGTCTTCATTTATATAGAGACGAGTGGGTGTTTTTTTTATATAAGAAAGTGATGTAGCACTTTATATCATTTCTTGTCTGTTCTAAAATGAAGTTAAATGAGGTTTAATGTCCTGTTTATTAACCAGGGTCCTGTTTCACGAAATTTTAACTAAGATAAAATCCAAATTTTAGTAGATACTTCAATTTTGATTGGCTAAGCACTACAATCAGTCTAATATTATCCAATCAAATTACTAAAATTTGGATTTTATCTTAGTTAAAATTTCGTGAAACAGGCCCCAGGATAACGAGGACGAATATATGCAAAGCGTTGTTTTATGTACACGAGACCCCACTGTTCTCTGCCAGGCCTTCAATCCTGTACTACGGGAAACCACGTCGGAAAATCCATAGGAAAATACTGGGCCACCACCGGAAGTGAACCCGCGACCTCCTGGTTATCAAGCTAGTTGTTATAGAATAGGTTCAATAAAAAATAAAATGAGCTTTAGTGTGTCTTATTATTCTGCATAACTAAGGATTGTAGTATGTGGCAATTTCTTTTAGGACATGGAGTGGCGTTTTCGTTTACTATTCATCGAATTGCAGCTTGCAAGGATTTTTTCACGTGGTGCACGTGCACGAGAACAAGTACACAAGCCATCCAAATGGCCATGACTTAGTCCTGGCACGGGGTGACGTCCCACATCACTGTCAGTTAGTGGGCGAGTGTCCTAATCAGTGATCCACCGTACATCCTGATTTCATAAACAGTGAGCCAAATACATTCATGGTTTTACTCTCTCGGAACCGGGGCAAACCTACTAGCTAGTCAAATAGCGACAGCGGTTTCGGAATCTTTGGAATTTCTCTAGGGTGTGTTGGTGCAGTTTGTGGTCTTCTGGTCTAAACCGTGTACTTTAGATCTTAAGGTTTATCAATGAGTCAAGTCGCTTTGGTTGCATAAGTGACAAGGAGTATGGTCAACTGCTCAATCAAGTAGCTTTTTTCTCGGCTCACCCGGTTTCCCGTCACTGCTAAACATCATGTTAGTTCCGAAATGACCCAGTGTGTGTTGAGTTGACGTAAACCCCATTTCGCTCTCACCCATATGTTTTTCAATACTTTATTCAACTTACCACGAGTGAGACAACACCAGGCCCCAAGGTAAACCACATTAACGACGATTGATTAAGCCAGCATCTGAAATAACAGAACACAGATATCAACAACCCGAGCAATAAACATTATTAATTAAAACCACTTTAAAATACAAAAATTATTGTCTTTTACAAAATTAAACACTTCCAGACCAATCGGCAGCGTCCCAGTTTCTGTACATAGTTATGGGTAAATAGTCCCAAAACATAACGTATTTATTGGTAAAGTAATATAATTACCACTGTTTGTCCTGCATTTTATACACGAGGAGCAGTCCATTTGCTGATTACACTATTTTGCTTGAATACACTATTTTGCCTATAACGTTTTTTAGGACTTCGAATTCTGTCTTATGGTTTGGATTGTTCGTAATTGGTTTTATTTTATTATAATTAGAATTTATCAGTCAAAAGAATGCGTCTCGCTATGGTCTTGATAAATTCAAGACAATACCAGCTCTGATGAGTTGCTTCTATTTTTAAAACGCCCGACCCATGTCGCTTTGATACAAAGACTGAAATGCAAGTAATATATGGTGCATTGTTTAATCCGACGTGGTCTTCTTCCACAGTAAATGGTATCGCAGACAAGAAGTAGGAGAAGAATACAATGCTACTGTCTGCTAGAAAATATTTGGTAATATCTTCATTAATGGAATCATCAATCATATGATTGCTAACTACATTTAACCACAGAAACTTGAATGACTACTTTCTACGTATGTAATTCAAGAAGAGGTATTATCACTTTCAGCAAGAAAAGAGCATCACGTTTTCCTGTTACACGAATTTAGGACGGAGAGACGGCGATCAATTGGTAACGGACAATGAACTAGTTCAGTCATCTAAGTATAACAGTTCTTCAAATAATACATTACACGTACGAAATTAAGCGCACGTTTTTGACCCCCCCCCCCCCCAAGCTGCCCCAACCACCTCCGCAATGGCTACTAGACTCATCAATAACATTGTTCTAAAGCAAAGCAAAATCTGACAGAAACAAAATGAACACTGGAAACATAATTATAGATTGGGTTTCTACGCAATCATCTGTTTCCTTGTCTTGGTAAAAAACATTACAAGACATACACCAAAATCAATTTGTATTTCGACATGGTTGTCATTTACGTAGGTATACACATTTCATCAAAATTGAAATTCAAACGAAAAAGAAACGGAACGCACTGGGTGGTTTTAATTATAATGACATAGTTGCACTGGAGTCAGTGTCTATACTTACTTTGAATTATCTTCCTCACTGGCGGCTCTGAATCCCAAATAAAACACAGTTGGGACAATTGGCAAAACTAATAAAAAAGAAGGGATAGTTGTTATACAATTTATTCAAGATAAGGAAAAAATCCAGTTAATCCAAATAAACGGATACCATAAATTAACCATCTTGCATATTATTTACAAGTTTCAAAAATACCAAGTTTTGGTGTTGACGAGACGTTAATCCTCAACTGAATCACCGTTCATTGTATATTGTATGATTATTCTAAATGAACATTCCATGCCTTAGTATTCTAAATGATGACATAAAAAGGTACATTATTATGAAACAAATTTTCAGAAGAATATTACTCATCTTTCAATTCTCGATATATGGATATCCACGGAAATGCAATATGTTCAGTTCAAAGTAGATCAACACGTGCAAATATCTCGAATTTTGATTGAGATATCCTCGTAATAAATAGTGGTGGGGCGAATGGTAAGCGCATGCACGTTCTGTCATAAGGTCAGTCATTGAGTCAACTGGCGTGGTTTCGATTCCCCAGTTGTACGTGACAAGGAGTAGGGTCCCCCGGTTTCCTCCCACTGCTGAAGACCCCTGCGTGCAAGCGAATTATTGAAATAAAATTGAACCGTGTGTTAGTCCCGAAATGACCTAGTTTGTGTCGAGTGGACGTTAAACCCCATTTCCTTCTCGTGTTAGAGAAATCCATGAGGTTGTTCAGGTGACTCGATATTAGCGATAATGTACTGCATTACACTCGTATTTATTGCAACATACTCTAGTACACTCATATTACTAACATACTCTAGTACACTCATATTACTAACATACTCTAGTACACTCATATTACTAACGATACCAAATGAAATGAAATGGGGTTTAAACTCCTACTGTTCTTTGTCTCGTTAGATTCACCATATGTTTGGCGCAATATAGCCCGGTTGGAGTTGACGTGCCATTAAACAACATTTTATTTCATTTCATTTCATTTCCTACTGTTCTGTTCCAGCTGGTCTAATGAAGAGGGGCATAATATGCGTTTTAGTGTGCTATGAAGGACGGAATTTTGCTCGGACATATCGAATTCCATCCGAACGACTAAATGCTATCCTTTGCCAGGCCTTCTGTCCTGCACCACTGACACGAGAAACCTCGCAGGAAATTCCCAATGAACTTTCTGGGCCAACATCTTACTAATTGAACCACCGTGGCTATTTCTAGCAATGCACTCACTCGCCATTGATATTTCTAGCAATATACTGTATTACACTGATATGTTCAGTGACATGTTCAAGTTATAGTAATACCAATCTTTGGTAATATATTGGAAAAATAAAACAATGTACACATTGTAAGGGGATATGGTTCAGCGTGTGATCATAGTTAGTATATACAGACCCCAGCCAATCACGGTGCAGATCCACAGAAGTTTCTTCTCTTTAGTAAAGGCGATGACAATCAGGGTATGTAGATAGAATCCCTCACAAAACATCCAAAAATAATTGCATATAGTCATAAACTGTGTTATTATATGTAATGCTATACACCACGCCTGCAATTAAATAATTACATTTAGTCATAAACTGTGTTATGGCATGTGATGCTATGCACCACGCCTTCACCCAAGTAATTACATTTAGTCATAAACTATTTCATTTTTGTATAATTATATTTAGTCACGATTATTACATATGACATTATATACAACACTTGAACTTATAATAAAATTAAGGTTAGTCATCAACGTAGACCTAGCAGATTGCTGGGTGGGGGGTGTAAAGTCGGTATATCGCCCCAGGGTCCGTGAATATGTATTTACGTCGGCATGATCAGTATTTGTGCCACAGAGCCCCGTGCCTTACTCCGACTGTGTGTGGGGGGGGGGTGTAATTAGAAGCCCTATTTTGTGCAATGTCCTTGCAAAGTGGGGGTTGGGGTGGGGGGGGGGGGTAAGCTTACTCTGGTACATAAAAATTCGGTCGGTAGCCCTGTATCAACTATTGTATGTAATCACATCTCTAACACTATATACGGCGAGTACACATTGAGTCATAAACTGAATTATTAGATCAAATGCTATGCATAAATGAATAATTGATGTTATTATATTCAGTGGTTTATTCGAGGATATAACTATATTAGGAAGTCAACAGTGTTACTTCACTGTGTGCAACACATAACACGTGCTTTACTATTAATTATGTTTGATCACATTCCATCATCGTTATTAGCTCGTAAATAAAATACGAAATCGAGTAGATGATATCGACGATGAATGAATGAATAAATAAATAAATGAAATATGGTTTAACGTCGTACTGTCCTGCTCCAACCGAGGTAATGAAGACGGGTATACCCGATGCAGTGTGCTATAACGGAAATTGGAATTCCAACTGCCAAAGAGTTATTTACGTAATGGGACCTATGTTTTTCGTCCAATCCGAACGACTAGATATCCCTTGCCAGGCCCTACGCCCTGCACCCCTGACAAGGGGGAAACACACTGGAAGCTCTCTCAACCAATACTAGTTAGCGATCCAGCACCTTATCCACTGAGCCACCGTGGCCTCGACCAAGAAGAAACGAACTCGCTTTAAATGCGAAAAGCGATCGGCATGATTGAAAGTTAATTAATTTCAATGATAGTTGGATATTTTGGAATACCAACTGAAATTGATATTTGAATATTTGGAAGTCTGTGGAATACTTACAGAATTGTTATCCATATTTTCTTTGTTCATTGGAATCAAAGTATAATATAAAATCCAAAACATGCCGGCCAGGATGAAAGATAAAAATAGATGCTGATGTATAGTCACTCGAGTACATTTTAATTGCCTGGAAAATGCAAAAACAAAATCCAGCAAACCATTAAAATCACATTAAGGGGATAATTACATGTTGGCTTTGGGACTTGCTCATTCATAATATTTTAATATGTACTTACAAAATACAAAATCTGATGGGAATTCACAAATTGTACGTAATATATACAAAACTTGTACGTAATAAATACAAAATCTCACACAAGTAAACAAATTGTACGTAATAAGTAGTAAATCTCAAGTACAAAACACATGGGCCATAAACGGGGTTCCATGGTGTTTTCACCGGAACAACACTTTTCCTATGGCTTTTCAAATATCCTATATTTATAGGATATTTAATAGAACCATTATAGGTCCTGGTGTTATACAACGAGTTTTAAAAGTGTATAAAATTTCGATGTTAATAGTTTATAGATGATGAACTAAACTGACCCATAGACAAATAACAGTATACAGAAGGTATTATATTGAACAGCTTCTATTATTAGTTAATATAACTTAAATGGTTTCTGCTTCTTATGAATTTAAAGAATCTTACAGAATTTTAGAAATAACCCAGTTAAGTGACCATGGCCTATTTGGGGAATGCATGTGCAAAGAAGCCGTGGGGAACCCATTGGGGAAACCATGAGACAACTACCGATGGATGTCCCCAAACTCCACGTATAGAAAACCTAACATTTTAAATGAACAACGGCACAAAATTTGTTAGTATTTTCCAATTCGTTTGTCCAGTTCGTTTTTTCGTTGTCTGCATTTTCCTCAACAGTTGCTAAAAGTGACCCACTGCCTAGGATTGTTATTATGCAGCGACATTTTCCTTTTAATTGCAATCCGCAACTCCCATACTTTGCTTCTCGTGTAATTATGCGACATTCTGACATTCTGAGAGAGAGAGAGAGAGAGAGAGAGAGAGGGGGGGAGAGAGAGAGAGAGAAGGAGAGAGAGGGGAGGGGGTAACGTCAATTAATTACAACCTGGGTCATTTCGGGACTAACATATGGAACAATTTAAATTCAAACATTCGCTTGCTCGTGGGTGTCTCCGGCAGCAGGACAGACCCAGATGAACTGGAAAGAACCCACGGGGTTATATGGTCGATCTCACAGACAATATATGACCATATGGCTGTCCAACACTTCGACGTGATCCAACAAATCCTGCCAACTGTTTAGACATGTTTTGATTATATTTATAGCATGAACAACCCGGATAAAAGAAACGTAATAATTCACATGATTGTAATTAGATAGTATAGTTGAACATTCCATAAAAGAAGCTGACATTTCTTTATCGTGGACTGTGTTTATTTCTAGACATAAAGTCTCTATATGTGTCAGGACATAGCCAATATCTGAAATCCGTTAACTTTGCACTATATTTTTGTAGCGTCGAGATAAGTTTAAAAATATATTCTCAAAATCATTGGAGTGTATTCATATGCGGTTGATATAATAGAACTACTTCTGGGTCATTCAGATACTTAGCTAATGAGTAGCCCTGGGGGATGAAATTTCATTAGTCCACATCCCGGAAGACGATGGTTGGAAATGGAGGAGAGGATATGATGAATTGTGACGCATCTTTTTCAGACGTTACTTAAAGGTGCGAGAGAGAGAGCAATGAGGTTAAACGTCCACTTGACACAAACTAGGTCATTTCGGGACTAACATATGGTTTGATTTTATTTCAATAATTCGCTTGCGCGTAGGGGTCTTTAGCAGTGGGAGGAAACCGTAGGACCCGGAGAAAACCCACGAGGTTGGACAGGCGACCCTACTCCTTGTCACGTACAACCGGGGATTCGAAACCACGCCAGTCGACTCAATGACAGACTTTATGATGCAGCGCGCGCACGCTAACCATTCAGCCATCCACCCCCCCCCCCTTACTTAAAGGTGACATGGCTGATGTGGCGTTAACTTTAGTTACAGAGTATATTATTTCTCTTCTTTTAAGAAATGAAATGAAATGAAATGGGGTTTAACGTCCTACTGTTCCGCTCCTTCTTTTAAGAAAAAAGAACTGATAATCTGTATTTATTAAAGGGCATTATGGAAGATTAGATAAAGAGCTGACAGTTCTCAGTATAATAGTTACAAACTAGATAATGTAAAGGGAATATGCCAAACATTTCAGTCAAATTGATTCACTCTGAACGGAGATATTAGCGATTGAATATTAGGCATAGCCTCGATCATCATTACTAAATTATGTACGATAAAAAAATTAGTCTCGATTATCCATTTTTGGATTTAATCATCAATGAGCGTTGAGCAGCAGAACTGATTCAAATCCAGTGAAAAAACTACACATAAGATGGCATTGAGAGTTAATTAAGGTCTTTTCTTGTTAATAACTATCTAATTAATAGTTTATATAACATTCCAGACCTAAAGAAAGGCCTATATTGGCAGATTTAGTTCTTACATAATGTAGGTTTAAGTTTGTAACATGGCGACTGGTATGGTAGTGTTAGACAACTTCATTCTTTACATCAGTATTTTGTTCATAGCCTAACGGTCTAGGTTTCATACTAACCAAGCGGTCCGGGAACTAAGACGTGAAACTTCATTTTATTTCATTTCATTTTACGATGTATATTGAATCGACTATACCGGACGGAGCGGGGGGGGGGGTTAACGCGTGGTGTTGCATCATAAGGTCTGTCATTGAGTCAACTGGCGTGGTTTCGATTCCCGACATGTGCGTGACAAGGAGTAGGGTCGCCTGCCAACCTCGTGGGTTTTCTCCGGGTGACACGGTTTCCTCCCACTCCTAGAGACCTTTACGCGCAAGCGAAATATTGAAATCAAACTGAACCACATGTTAGTCCTGAAATGACCTAGTTTGTCGAGTGGACGTTTAACCCCATTTCTCTCTATATATATATATATACTGTACGCGGGTCTTTAATATCAAGATATAAAGGTTACTAATTCAGTCCAAGAAATAAATCATCGTAATTCGTGTAAGAAATGGTGAATAACTATGACAGTGTGTAATTGTTATAACGGTTAATGGCTATCATATACGACTACACGAGTTTCATTGATGACATGACTATTGATCTGATGGGTCCAACAGGGTCATAACGTACATGTACATATCATTACTGTTCACTTGTCATAACAATGCTTCTAGTTGCTATCTCAAAATACCATGACATGTCAGTAACTCGGCTTACACTAACCCATGTAGTAAGGGGTGGCTAGGGTTCTAGACCCTTGATTACAATATACAGTATTGGAATCCAGGACTGGGCCAAGTAGAACCTCACGATTATGTCTGCTGAGTGCAGGGTCATTCATGCAATTCAATATACCACATGATACGACAAACCGTAGTCTACATACAGTACTAGCATTTTAAAGCGCAGACCCCAGAACCCCATACTGCACACAGCGATCTATCTACGTCATACTTCGAGAATACATCACTGCCCTAAATACCGTCCATTTAAAACGCTCACGTGATCATTTCGAGGTGGGACGCCTACTGCTTTGTGCACCCGAAGCACGTGGTTTATGTAAACAAATGTCAAGTTAGCAAAACGTCGACTTCTGCCACTCCTGTGAAAGCGATATATAATATGTGCTAGTGGGTAATATTGCAATACAGACTTTACCACTGTAAACGGTCTTTACAGTTTCAATCTGTTTATCTTTCAAAACAAGGTTAGATACTCCTAAAACCGCTTATGTGAAATTATATTTCATGGGCGCCGCCATATTGGGGGACTGGATGGCTGAATGGTTAGCGTGTGCGCGCTGTATCATAAAGTCTGTCATTGAGTCAACTGGCGTGATTTCGATTCCCCGGTTGTACGTGACAAGGAGTAGGGTCGCCTGTTCAACCTAGGGGGTTTTCTCCGGGTCCTCCAGTTTCCTCCCACTGCTAAAGATCCCTACGCGCAAGCGAATTATTGAAATAAAATTAAACCATACGTTAGTTCCGAAATGACCTAGTTTGTGTCAAGTGGACATTAAACCACATTTCTCTCTCTCTCGCCGCCATATTGAATAATTAGTGGACTATTTCGTGACTCTGCTCTGATCAGTTTGACATCTTTCATACACACAACGGCTAAATAATCATATTTAATTTCATTCAATATGAAAATAGAAGAGAAATAAATACTTCTAAAAATGACTAAAAGCATACTCAGTGTTTTCGACTAAAATCGTCGATGTAGGAATTAAAATGTCGGTTAATCAGGTTAGGGCCTGTTCTCAGGCGGAACTAGCTGTAGACAGGCAGCCTAAGTTTGGGATGCTCAGAACCCGTGACAATTGATCAAGGGTAGACTGAAAAGTACCGGTGGTAATTAGACAGGAACGCCACTGTAAGGTAAAATTCACCTCCCTAGCATACTACACGTGACCGAGGAAAATAAATATGTACATGTTAGTCTTAAACTGATCGGGATATTAAACTCAATCCCTTTCTCCAGACAGTAAAGACCATGCCAGTGATGTTTAATTTCTTACACCTACTTTCAATATTCTGGATATATATTCAAATGAATACATATCTATGTTTGAAATGTAAACTCATCACCAACTCATCATAAGAATAAAATATAATATGAAAATTGCATGTTTTATATATTACTATAATCAGTTAAATATTAACTTCGCAAGTTTTATATATTACCATAGTAAGTTGTATTTATTACCATGGTAAGTTTCTTATATATTACCATTTGTAAGTTTGAAATAATTATCATTGTAAGTTTGAAATATTACTGTTACAAGTTTGAAATAATTATATTATCAGTTGGAAATATTAACGTTGTAAATTTGAAATATTTAAACATCGCAAGTTTTATTAACTATTATAGATGTAAATTTCAAATATTATCATTGTAAATTTCAAATATTACCGTTGTAAGTTTTAAATATAATCATTGAAAGTTTCAAATATTACTATTACCAGTTTCAAATATTTACATTGCAAGTTTCAAATATTTACATTGCAAGTTTCAAATATTACCATTGCATGTTTCAAATCATTGGACATTACCATTGCAAATTTCAAATAATTATCGCAAGCTTTAAATATTACTATTGAAAGTTTCAACTATAATTATACCATAGTAAGTTTTAAATTTAAATACTACCACTACAATATTCAAATATTACTGTGGTAAGTTTTAAATATAACCATCGCAAGTTTTAAATATAACCATCGCAAGTTTTAAATATTACCATTGAAAGTTTCAAATAAAATTATACCATGGTAAGTTTTAAATATTACCATTACAAGTTTCAAATATAACCATGGTAAGCTTTAAATATAACCATCGCAAGTTTTATATATAATTATCATTGGAAGTTTTGAATATTACCATTACGAATTAATGATCGAATGTTATCATTGTCCGTTTTAAATATTGTATGCATCGGGGTAACATTAGACTTTTCACAATTTTGAATTTCGGTTTGACAGTAAGATTTATCATTGAAGTACCTTCTTAAGAGAAATAAAATCAAGAGGAAAAATTGCTGGCTTTGGGATAATTATGTTATTGGAAATAACTGGTCTCGCGCTCAATGACAGTTCTTAGCCTAAGATGACTGTTTGTGGAGTAACCTCGGTGTAATCTGTTTAGACGTAATGAAGTCTTATTAGCGGCTTGATGTTATCTTTACGTCGTTAATCATGTACTTAGTTTAGAACCAGTCACCTAAATTGATGTTAAGATTGTCATTACGGTTTGAGGTTATGGCTTTTGTTTTGATCCGTAAAATAGTCCCTCGTAATTTATACGTTTCTCTTTGATATAGGTTAAGAATCAAAGCGTCAATCATTTTTGTCCTTCCCTGTCTTTAATTCTAAGCTAGCTAGAATTGAATAGCTCAGATAATCTAGTCCTTAACCCTTTGAACACAATGATCGTGTCGTTGTTGTGCCCACGGATAAGCTAGCTTCTCTTGGTATAGCTCAGATATCCCTTAACCCTTTGAGCATGAGCGACCGTGGCTTAGCAGTTGCCACTTCTACACTAGCTGCTCTCGATATAGCTCGGATAAATCTAGCCCTTAAGCCCCTGAACACGAACGACCGTTTCGTTGTAGTGTTCACCCACTTCTAATTCTAGCTACTCTTGGTATAAGTGACATAGTTCTTAAGCCTTGGTACACGTACCACCGTGACGTTGTAGTGGGAAAATCCCCACTGGCCAAATCCAACAGGCCCTTCCCGAACCATATTTACCGAGACATGGTGGTCATCCCATTGACAGGAACCAAAGAAATAATCATACAACATGGCAAGCGTAATTTCATGACAAATGTATTTTTATGAGATCACATTCTTTTTGATTTCACAATGTAGGATAACAGGAACAAGGAAATAATTATAAAACTTGGCAAGCGTAATTTCATGACAAATGTATTTTCATGAGATCACATTCGTTTTGATTTCACAACATAAGATAACAATTTAAACAAAAAATTATCTCGCAGATAAATCTATTACGGGGTGAATCAAAGGTTAAGCAATTATCATTATATTTAGTCAATTAAGTAAATAATTGCAGACTTATAGTTTCTTAATTTTTTATCCTTCTGAGCTTTCATTATGGTTTTATGCTCATCCGAAATATTCCGCCAAAGCTTAGTGGCAACAAGGTATTCAGGACGATTGAGCCAGAAACCACCAACTTTTTGTGCCACTGGAATGTTTCAACTGAGGGGTTCGACTAGGGAGAACCGTAGCTTTGTGACAGCGGTGTATGTGAACCGCGGAAATCAGAACAAGTACAGCAAAGCTTTGTGACACTGGTGTAATTAAACTGGGGGGGGGGGGTCAGGTAGAGTACACCACAGCTTTGTGACAGCGGTGTATGTGAACCGCGGAAATCAGAACAAGTACAGCAAAGCTTTGTGACACTGGTGTAATTAAACTGGGGGGGGGGGTCAGGTAGAGTACACCACAGCTTTGTGACAGCGGTATATTTGAGCTGAGAGGATCGGTTATAGAATGCCAGAGCTGGGTGAAAGTGAATGTATGTGAACTGTGGGGTCAGCTAGAGAATATCAGAGCTTTGTGACAGAGGGGTATTTGAACTGAGGAAGATCGTTGCATATGTTCACAGCATGATTTCTTTGAACATTACATGATATTGATGTTCACGATGACCTTACCTGAAACAAGCGAAGATAATCATACTGATGATAAGTAGAATTATTGAAAGGGCGTAACCAGATATGTATACCATCATAACACTGTGCTCAGCCTGAAATCAAAAAAAAATCAACAGTTAATACCATATTTATTCTAAATCTGAAAATTTTAAAAACAAAATGTCAATACACCACCCTTTATTTCCTTTCCTGTTGAATTCATACACCAAAAATATTCGGTTCAATGATTTCTATCCACGAATATCGAGATCAAGATAGTATAAATGAAATGAAATGGGGTTTAACGTCCTACTGTTCTGCTCCGACTGGGCTAATGAAGACGGGCATACAGAGTGCTGTGAGGGGAATTTTGCTCGGGCAGCGGCACTACAGTCTATAATTTTATAGCGAATTCGATCTATCAAGGGATCTTTTACGTGCACGCCAATGTGTACACATGACCTCGGCTTTTCGTCCCATCCTAACGACTAGACAGCTGTCCGTGTCAGGCCCTCTGCCCTGCAACACTGACAAGGGGAGAACCACGTCGGAAAATCTGGATGTATTTTCTCGGCCAATGCAGGGATCAACACCCAACCACCGGGCTAGCGAGCCAACGTCTTACCCACTTAGCCACCGTCACCCCAAAGATGGTATATAACCTTTTTTTAAATTATGTTTATATACTCTTCGGAATCTTATGAAATATATCACATTTATTATAACTATGTAAATAATTGCCGTTTGCAAGGGATTTTAACGGTTTTAAACAATCTGTTTAACTTTTATTTTAGCACGCTTTGGACCTTCCCCTAGGACACAAACAAGCGTTTTTAACTGATATTTCGTTTAGAGAATCACTACTGTAGTCTACAATGGAACCAAGTGAACATCAATGGCTTTAATTTTATATATGAAAAATGTATATTGAACTTCACTCGAATTACTGTTAATTTTAAATAATTGAAGAAGGACTTAAATATCAGAAATTAAATAAAGATACCGAATAGAATAATACGCAGTAGTAACAATCAAATGTCAAGGAAATGCCATAGAGTTATATTTTAATTGAATTGCCATAAAATAACTTTTTCAAGAAAGACATTTTAGCGAATACAATTTCAATGTGAAACATGCAAAGGGTTTAAAAGTGTCAAGTTAAAATACCAAATTTTCTTAAAGTCCCCATAGGTATAGATAGTAGAATTCAAAATCATAATTACTATTTGTGTACCTGTATAATTATGTTTGTTCGTAGCAGCAATGTTTAATAATTATTTCTTTAAATATACAAGATTTGACAAATTCTAAAATTTGATGTTATGTTGAACATTGACTCATATTTAAAATCTTATGTCAGTTGTTACCAACATTTTGTTGGTTGTGACCCCATTTCGTAACCCAGCATTTGATCGCGACCCCTGTAAGAATAAAGTCACCTTTTACCATGAAACATCACCTTCATTGCATTTATTGTTTTACTGATTTGAAACTTTATTGTTGACATTTTTACACCTTTATAAATATTGAGGAAAGACGACTGACAATGTGGCAAGAGGAGTAAGATTGGGAATAATTCTACGATTGAAATCGTGGTTTTAATCGTGGAGTAATCGTGGAGTAATCGTGGTGATCCTATCAAGTCTTATCTTATATTGAGGTCAGTCGCCGCAATCGTGTTGACCGTATCGAAACGTATCCGAACGTATGTGCACGTACCAGATCGTGGACTCAATACGGACAATCCTATCGTAACGCATTTGTTACAAATTTTGATGTTATGTATGTCGAACACTTTCTAACAAGTAGACCATGTTTCGAACATTTAAGTTTAGTCCAGATCATAGCTTTTACAATCCCCGAAAGAATCCACAAAATAAACCCTCCTCTCACTAAAACCAGTGTAATAGTATACGGTCGGTACCACTGGTATGTGCCAATAGAAAAGTACTTCCGCTTGTTGAAGAATGGGTAAGCATGCCCTGTCTCCGCCATCTTTTCAACTTACCTCAGTATTAATACACTGTTTATAATTCGTCCATATTCGCCCAGAACCAGGATGTCGTAACCAACTTCCGTCTTCCATACACCGTTTCTCAGCAAATCCTGAAATTTACCAACATACTATAATCGCTGCATTTTAATAATAATGCAAATGATTCATGATCTCACTTATTTCAGAAAGCGTTCTATTTGTCAAACATAATATTTGAAGTACATGTAAATACCAACTTCGTGCAGGTTAAACCAATTCAAATAGTAGTAGTTCTCACATTCTTCTTGCCTTATAGTACATATACTTGTTAAGAACTTCGGCCATAGTTGCATTTTTATGAACATACCAATCTGATTAAAACACAGATCCTATTTCGTTTCGTTTTTTATAGTTCAAAATTTCGTTTTATATGCCTGTACTACATTAGGATCTGGAAGAGTTGCTATATAACCTGCGTGGGCGAATAGCCAATGGAACGATCTGTTACGTCGACTTCTTGGCGTGCGATCCACTGAACTGTGGGTAAAGCACTAGAAACGTCAACGCTGGTTGATTAATCAATGTCTGACGTCAAAGGGTCAAAAGCCGTTCGTACGACCTCTGACGTGACCTTTTACTACAACCGATTAGATCTTCATGTCGTGTAGGCCATCGTAAGTATAAAAAACGAAACGAGATATAGATCTGTATTTTAATGAGATTGATGAACATACCAGTTAGATTCTATATTGATGAACATACCAGTTAGATTCTATATTGAGACAAAAATGAAATGAAATGAAATAGGGTTTAACGTCCTACTGTTCTGCTCCTAACCTGGGCTAATGAAGACGGGCATACGCCATACAGTGTGCTATGAGGGAAATTTTGCCCGGACAGCGGCACTACGGCTTACTCTTATATCGAATTCCAACTGCCAAGGGATCTTTTACGTGCACGCCAATGTGTACACAGGACCTCGGTTTTCGTCCCATCCGAACGACTAGACAGCTTTCCTTGTCAGCCCCTCCGTCCTGCATCACTGACAAGGGAGAACCACGCCGGAAAATCTGGATGAACTTTCTCGGCCAATGCAGGGATCGAACACCCGACCTTCAGGCTAGCGAGCTAGCGTCTTACCCACTTAGCCACGTGATCCCCCTATATTAAAACAATAACATATTCAAACAGTTGGTCTTAATAATACACCATTATCTTTTCAGAGGATACACCAAATTTTAAAATTTATATTTTCACATTTAATCATGTCAGTTATTTTAGATAATTGTGTAATCGGTATACAGACTTCAACTCCGATTATTTTATATTTGTTTTGTTCTGATGTCGAACTAATAAATTTACAAATTGGGTAGGATATTATTAAAGACAACTTACCGTCCGGATTCATGCCGGTGTCAAATGATATAGGACAGGGCTGATAAATAGTGCTACCAGCCGGGGTGTAATCCCAACACAGCCAGTGGTCGAAGGTAGCATTACAATATACTCCCCCTGAAAATATAAAACACACAAAGTTAAACACATTGAATATAAAACACTAGTTTAACGAACACTCTATTGTATCTTCATTCCGAGCCACGGTGACTAAGTGAGTAAGACGTTGGCTCGCTAACCTGGAGGTCCCGTGTTTGATACCTGCATTGGCCGGCAATTTCATAGGGATTTTTAGGTGTGGTTTCACCTTGTCACTGGTGCAGGACAGAGGGCCTGACAAAAGACACCGTATATGTGTTCGGGTGAGACGAAAAACTGAAATCCCGTGTACACATTGGCGTGCAAGTAAAATAACCTCTACCAGTTGGACAAGGAGTAGGGTCGCCTGTCCAACTTCGTGGGTTTTCTCCGGGTCCTCCGGTTTCCTCCCACTGCTAAAGACCCCTACGCGCAAGCGAACTATGGAAATAAAATTGAACCATATGTTAGTCCCGAAATGACCTAGTTTGTGTCGAGTGGACGTTAAACCCCATTTCTCTCTCTCTCTACCAGTTGGAATTCAATATAAGAGTAGGCCGTAGCAACGCTGTCCGGGCAAAAAATTCCCTCATAGCACACTGTATGGCGTATGCCCGTCTTCACTAGCCCATTTGTATCTTCAATGTGAAATAAGAAAGTAATACCGGAATATCTAGTAGACTGGATATGGTATGAAGAAGATATCTACAGATGGGGAATTGTAAATACTGAACTGGTTTATTTCTGAGATTTAAAGATACATTATGGGAGATTAGATAAAAAGCTGGCAGTTCTCACTATAATAGTTAAAAACTAGATAGTGAAAAGGTTATTTGATGAAAGTTTCAGTCAAATTGCTCTACTCTGAACCGAGAATTTAGCGATTGGATTTTTGGCCTAGCCTCGATCATCATTACTAAAGTCGGTGCGATAAAAAACATAGTTTCGATTATCCATTTCATGATTAAATCACGAATGAAAGTTGAGCAGCAAATCGGATCCTAATCCAGTACATATCGTAGGCTATGACGTCAAGAGTTCATTTTGGTCTGGATAAGTTGATTAATGTCTAATTAATAATTTAGATAACATTTCAGGCCTAAAGAAAGACCTACAATAGGCTGATTTAGCTCTTGCATAATGTATTTTTAACTGTCATATTATTGTAGTTTACAAAGGATTCAACATCAATAAAATGACGGTCAGTAATTTTGACGGAATTTTATATGTATATACAATGGTGCATCCAGTCACAGGTGCTTTATAAGATAAGTAGACCTATTTAAGGACAAGCGATTGTCAAAACAATTCCATTTGATTCAAATTACAAAGTTGGTTGTTTTATTTAATAACGGAAGTGTGCATATTGAATTATTTTAACGAGATGTAATCTGTTTAGTAGGATATGGGGTGTTATTTGGTTAACCATGTGCTTTAGGTCTGTCATTGAATCAAACGTCGTGGTATCTTTCCAAGATTTTAAAAGGTTATCTACGTAACCTGCGCACAAGTAAAATAAGGCATTTCAGCTTGAGCGAGAGAGAGAGAGACAGAGAGAGAGGGGGGGGTGAGGTAACGTCCACTCGACACAAACTAGTTCATTTCGGGACTAACATATCGTTCAGTTTATTTCAATAATTCGCACACGCGTAGGAATATTTAGCAGTGGGTGGAAACCAGAGGACCCGGAGAAAGCAAAAGAGGTTGGTCAGGCGACCCAACGCTTTGTCACGTAAAAGCGAGAAATTTGTCTCAATGACATACCTTTTGATCCAACGCGCACGCGTTAACCATTCGGTCATCGAACCCCTCTTTGTTCAAGAGAGGTGAAACTAATGTAAGCTAAAATTACAAGAATTAAATTACTTTTAGGGTGTCTTACATTCGTCGACCGGGATAATGACATACGCCATCATGCAGTTATTTCGAAGAACACGATTATTTGTCCCATCCGAACGACTAGAGACCGTTCCTTGTCAGATCCTTCCTGCACCACTGACAAGGGGAAATCACACTGGAAAATTATGTTACATTCCCGCCATCATTAGCCCGGTTGATGAAGGATAGGCTGTTATTGTTTAGATTTTATGATTTATACAAAGGGCGATGCAAAGCAAAACACGGACATATTAATCAGAATTGTTAACCCTCAAGACCAAAAACACCTATTAATTCACAATTTATAGTTTAAATCGGATAACAAAATGATGTCTTATGAGAGGGTTTCAACTTGAAATGATGAAGGTTAAATGGTCGTTTGAATCCCTTGTTGACTACAATATTGTGAAAGTTGTGTCATATTAGTTAATATCTGTGCAGCTGAAGGTTCAATTCGGTTCGATATTAACAAGGGTATAATGAACTGAAAATTTCACAACATATGACATCCTCTATTGGGTACAATTTTAAGGTAGATTAAGAATTCCTTATTGGTTGAAAAATGCAAATCAAAAACATGGACTTTAAAACAACCATAAAACTACAGAATTAGATTTTTTCCCACTGTATAAATCATGATAGTGTGAATCCGAGTACCAATCGATTAAAATGTACAAAAATATTTCTAAAAGCTGATCAATTTAATTACACTTAGATTAATATTTCGTTTCGTCTATTTTTTCTTTCTCACCACCAAATATAAAACGAAAAGAAATTGATTACATATGATTTTAATCCGGTAGAAAATCGATCTTCTGAGGTTGTTTTGGTTTTTTTTAGGAAAAGAGAATATTTAATTAATGTAATAGTTTTCTTTATTGTCAGCCTTTTCATTGAATGACCTTTTATTTTATCGTTAAAAGTAAAACATTTCTCCATAAAAAATTGATTTATGATAAATTAAAATGCCTCGAGCCATTTTTTTAGTTAAGTGTTACAAATTGCTGGTGTTTTAATAACACATCCAAAGACTCACGCGATTATCACGTTTCAAGTGTAAGGCCCGCGAGGCTCAGGAATAAGGCGTGATCTAGCCGCGAGGCTCAGGAATGAGGCGTGATCTTGCCGCGAGGCTCCGGAATGAGGCGTGATCTAGTCGCGAGGCTCAGGAATGAGGCGTGGTCTAGTTGCGAGGCCCGAGAAGTAAGGTGTGGTCTAGTTGCGAGGCTCACGAGTAAGGTGTTTTCTAATTGTCAATATCAAGGTAGACCTTAGTACACGTTGGCGGGCACGTAAAAAATACAAACAGCTGGAATTCGACGACGAGTACTGGAAACACCACTGTCCTTGATATTATTGCACCCGTGGCCATATGTCAGTCTCAAATTGCCTCAAGTGGTGTGTTAATCAGATGTCGCACTCCATTTTATTTTTTCCTTTCAAAAGCAAAATCGGGTAAATAGCAAGTGGAGTTCCTCCAGGCTATAGTCGATTAGTCGATTACACATCAAGATGGGGTGTTATACAAATTCAAATCTAATTCATCGACACCCAATTCGTTGAAATCTTGTTTTGACGTTAAAAGTCATCAAGCTAAATGACATGATCGTAACTCTCCCAAATTACACCATTTTTTATATTTGACGATCGCTTCAAATCCCACTGTACCAACATCGATTCGCTCTTTACCAAAATCATGTTATTTCATTTCTTTTATTAAACATGCAAACGCATCGAAATGTCAATTTATGACTTAATTTAGGGAAAAAAAGACAACCATTAGCAGGTTTGTTTAGAAATTATCGCATTCTCCATTGTGTTTTAATGCGTTTATCATCATCAATATCGGGGGGTGACATCACACTGTTGACAAAGCTCTTTAGTGTTAAAATGGGCAATCAATTTCGGGGTCTGATTACAATGATGTTAACACGATAGCCGTCAATCACTTTCATTTATTGTTTTCTATGCAGTAAAGCAAGGCCAATGTTTTAACATCGTGTGGTATTACGTAATCGTGGAAGTTAAATTCTCAGTAAGTTTTGTTGTAGGCGAAAAAGTAAGTCAACGAAGCTGTTATTGTTATCGAGTTGTAATACAGAGAGTTGAAAGTAGCTGTAACTATAAACCAGAAGCAATCCAATCTGTAAATGAATAAAAATGGACAACACTTTACATCCAGTAGTATATTTATATCATCTTCGAGTCAGCCATATATATATAGTCCTTTCATTGTAGATAACACTACTGTCGCCAGTCATATAGTCATTTCATTGTAGATAACACTGCAGTCGTCAGTCATATAGTCATTTCATTGTAGATAACACTACAGTCGTCAGTCATATAGTCACTTACTTGTAGATAATACTATATTCAATCATATAGTCATATCATTGTCGATAACACTAACGGTCATATAGTCATACCATCTTATAGCCCGCCATATATGATGATATAACACTACAGTCAGACATTTAATCATTTCATTGTAGATAACACCGCACTCAGTCATACAGCCATTTCATCATACAGCAGCCTGCAGTCAGTCACTTCATCTTACAGTCATACAGCCAGTCATATACACATCTTCGTCCCTCAAAGAAGAAAGGCTTCCGAACAAAAACTTATGCCTAAATTTGAGAAATCTAGAATTATTTCAAACCGACAAATACCTCCCTTGTCTTTCTGTAACACACGAACAGAAAACAATTTAATATTTCATAACAGAATTAACTTTGGAAATAGAAGCAATGTTTCACATTTCATAATTGAGTTAAGCATTTCAATTTTTCGATTGCTTATGAAATAAAGGTATCCAGTATTCTAACGTATTTCAGTTTTTAATTATACTTGAAGTCAAGTTAACATTTGAATAGAGCGATACTTCAATGTAATATTTATAATATTTATGAAAATTACAATTGATATTACAGGACAGTTTGATATTTGGTATGCTCCTAGGAATTTTAATTTTGGCATAACAGTCAGCATATATAACACTTCTGTATATTATATTTGTTATCATTTGCTTGATAACGTTGTGAGGTTCTCAATGAAACGTTGCTTTAGTTACAATTGCGATTGTTTTCCATGTGGTGTTCATATAATATCAATATGCTACAGCTATATTTAATTTGGATTAAATAAATAAAATTGTTGTA